TTATCATGTCTCGATCTCCCACTCCCATGACAAATCTAAAAACTTTTTAAAAGGTATTTTTAAAATTAATGGCATGAACAAGTTTTTATGTGGACATAAGTTTTTATTTATCTTGGATAAATATCTAGGAGTGGAAAGACTAAACATGTGGTAAGTACATGTTTAACTTTTTAAGAAAGAGCCAAACTGTTTTAAAAGAGGCCATACCTTTTAACATTCCTACCTGCAGTGCATAAGGGCTCCAGTTCTTCCACTTCCTACCACTTAGGATGATCAGTCCTTTTTGATTTTAGATGACAGCCGGCTAGCTATCTAGATGATAGAATATGTGGTATCTTCTTGTGTTTTTACTTTGCAGTTCTCTAATGACTAATGACATTAGCCATCTTTTCTGGTACTTATTTATATCTTCTTTGATGAACTGTCTGTTCTTTTTCCCATTTTTTAAAAGTCACTTGTCTTATTGCTAGCTAAAATTCCAACAGAAATTATCCTTTTGGCAAGAGGAACCAAGAAAAGGTAGTAATTAAAATGATGTTGTACTGACACAAGACTCAACAGATAGCTCAAATGCACTGGAGAGAGAGCCCAGAAACACACTGTGTATATGTGGGAACTCAGCATATAATAATAGCAGCATCATTTTTTTATTATGAAATTTATTGTCAAATTGGTTTCCATACAACACCCAGTGCTCATCCCAAAAGGTGCCCTCCTCAATACCCATCACCCACCCACCCCTCCCTCCCATCCCCCATAAACCCTCAGTTTGTTCTCAGTTTTTAGGAGTCTCTTATGTTTTGGCTCCCTCCCTCTCTAACCTCTTTTTTTTTTTTCCTTCCCCTCCCCCATGGTCTTCTGGTAAGTTTCTCAGGATCCACATAAGAGTGAAAACATATGGTATCTGTCTTTCTCTGTATGGCTTTTTTCACTTAGCCTCACACTCTCCAGTTCTATCCACGTTGCTACAAAAGGCCATATTTCATTCTTTCTCATTGCCATGTAGTACTCCATTGTGTATATAAACCACAATTTCTTTATCCATTCGTCAGTTGATGGACATTTAGGCTCTTTCCATAATTTAGCTATTGTTGAGAGTAGCAGCATCATTTAAAATTGGTGAGAGACAAATTATTCCACAAATGGTGCTGACAACCAAACTTAGACCTTATCTCATACTACAGAGAAAAGTAAATCACAGGTGGATTCTTTATACTTAATCATCACTAAACTTTCTTTTTCTTTTTCTTTCTTTCCTTCTTTCTTTTTTTTTTCTTTCTTTCTTACTTTATATTTGAGAGAGACAGAGAACATGTGCACATACGAGACTTGGGCAGAGGGGCACGGGGACAGAGGGGGAGAAAGAGAGAGAATCTTAAGCAGACTCCATGCTCAGCACAGAGCCCAACATGGGGCTCAATCCCACAACACTGGGGTCATGACCTGAGCTGAAACCAACAGTCAGATGTTTGACCAACTAAGCCACCCCGGCACCCCTCATCACCAAACTTTAAAATTATTACTAACCCTAATGAAATCATAGCTCTACGTAATAATTATCAACATCTGCTAACATGCCAAGAAAGACAATCAGACATAAGGTACTTCCTGATGTAAGTACACACCACCTCTTCAAGTATTCTTGCCCAAAACACTCAAACCTGAATATGATCATGTCTCTAGATCTAACCACCCCCTTTACATGAATAGAGGAACATATTTATTTTTTAAATATTTTTTTAACGTTTATTTTTGAGACAGAGAGAGACAGAGCATGAACGGGGGAGGGGCAGAGAGAGAGGGAGACACAGAATCGGAAACAGGCTCCAGGCTCTGAGCCATCAGCCCAGAGCCCGACGCGGGGCTCGAACTCACGGACCGCAAGATCATGACCTGAGCTGAAGTCGGACGCTTAACCAACTGAGCCACCCAGGCGCCCCAGAGGAACATATTTAAAATCACCATAGGGATGCTGTCAGCAAAGTCCAGACTCTGGGAAACTTTATAGGACAAACAGCCTTGTTATTTCAACAATTACAAGGGGGTGGCAAAAGGAACAGAGAGGTAACCTACCAACTGAAGGAGATTTAAGAGACACATCACTATTGCAAGACACGGATCTTACTTGAATCCTGAATCAAACTAATGCAATACACATACAGTGTGTGTGTGTGTGTGTGTGTGTGTGTGTGTGTGTGTGTATACCATTTATATACCATTTATACTAGAAAATGTCATTCAAGTCCCTGCCAGGGCACTGTGGCAGGGCATGGCATACAAAGGTAAGGAAAGGGGAGATATAGGCTTTCTCTGCTGGGGACACCACCACCTTTCCCCAACTTCTACACAGACTGTGTTTGCTGTGAATGCAGTGTCATCTTGAGGGCAGAACCCTCTTCTTCTCACACTCATCCTGGCCCCTCATACAGGCCCACAGTAAAAAAAGTGCAAAAGTGACCTCTTATTTCAGATGTCCCAGAGCTGAGGACAAAATATCTGCTATTGCACTTGGTCATTTCAGGAGTACTGGTGCCTAACTGCAGGGTAGAACAGAGGATGGATGGGTGGATGGATGGACGGATGAACAGACAGATGGACAAATGAATGGATGCCCAACCTACCAACTGCATCCTGAGTCCCACTAAAAGCTCAGGGCTGAATCTATTCCAATGTTCCATCAGTCAGACTGCGGAGAATTTGAAACATACTTTACAAGGTTATACAAAGTCAAAGTTAGACAGGTCCTAAAGGATCATTTGTTCTAACATCTTCATTCTATAGAGCGTAAAACTGAAATATGTAGAGGACTATTTACCCGTTATCTACAGAGGCTGAGTCAGGTCTGAAACCCAGGTGTCTTGACTCTCAGTACACTGCTCTTTGCATCAAGGGGTTATTTTTTTTTTTTTTCAACATTTATTTATTTTTGGGGGACAGAGAGAGACAGAGCATGAACGGGGGAGGGGCAGAGAGAGAGGGAGACACAGAATCGGAAACAGGCTCCAGGCTCCGAGCCATCAGCCCAGAGCCTGACGCGGGGCTCGAACTCACGGACCGCAAGATCGTGGCCTGGCTGAAGTCGGACGCTCAACCGACTGCGCCACCCAGGCGCCCCAAGGGGTTATTCTTTAAGTAACAAGCCTTTGTCCTTGTATCCTTTACTAGGTCATTCCACCAACTTTGTGGTAACTGTGCTCTTACCCTCCAAGCGGTCCAAAGATTACTGGATTGCCAAGGGGTCAGCTTTGCTCTGCCAACTAAATGAGTGAGAAGTTGCCACCTCCTGCTAAAAAAGAACCAGGCCAAAAGTCTTTCCTGATGGGGACAAAGGTCCGTGTAACATATGCAAGCAAAACAGCTATACTTCTGGTCTGACTTAAGGATGGTTAGTGTGGCTTTTCTCTTCTAACCTAAAATAAAGTGTCTGAGTGCCTCATTGAGTTGGTAATTCAAGCTCTGATGCGAAAGCAGTGGGTTCAGCACTCACCTCTTAAACCTGCTCCCCCTCCTCCATGTGACAGTCAGGCAGCTTCCCATCAGTAACTTGGGGGGAGGGAGGGGGGTGCCTGGGCAGAGTCAGAACTCACCAATTCCTTACCCGGATGGGCTTCCTTCCTCTTCACTCTGACATAAAAGGCCCAGTGTACATTTCAGTCACACGGCCCCAGGTGCTTCCATTTCTAGACCAGATTAAGGCTCAGATCCCAACATATGGGAGGCAGATGAGCAAGTGAGCTGGACAACAAGCTCGTGACACCATGGTGCCAGCTCCCCCACTCTACGGGCCTATCCCACCATCCTTAGAAGAGCTTGCTGTGCTTCACAGAAGTGGAGATTGGTCCTGCCCAAGGACAGAATTCCCCCTTCCACTTTAGGATGAACCTGTGTAGAAAGCATCCAAGTCCCACCCAGGCGCACCAGAGCCCCTGCCACCTCAAAAGCAGAGGTTGTTGGGCCAGTACCGAGATGGAGCAGTCACCTGTGGCAAACCATCTTGTGTCAGCCGTGCCAACAAGGGTCTGTTTATGTCCTCAGCCATAATATGAGTCACGAAACCGGGAACCACCCAGTTAGCATGTGGTCCTCTGGATAAAGACACACCACCCCCTTCCAGAAATTTGGAAGAACTGAATCAGGCCCAGTAATCCCACCTTCCCCTTTTACCTCTGCCTTCCTCCCCATAGCTATCGAAGTTAAGAACAGACTGAAGTCGCAGAGTAGCAGCGAACAATTCTTGTACTTAGAGCTCAGAGCAGGAACCGAGACGACTCTTGGCATTCCAAGCAGGAACAGGTGCTTACTAAGCCACGGGAATGGCTGCAGCCGCAGAAGTCAGAGGCTGACATCCGGCACCACAGCAGCTGTAATTCCAGGTCAGAAAGCTGTAGGAAACTGAGCCAACCTCACAAATGTAACACGCTCGTGAAGCAGGTGACTGGACAGGGAAACGCACGGCCTGGCCACTGCACAAACTTCTGTCTGCTGGAGCCTACCCGTAACTGCCACCACTACTGAAGAAAAAGGTCTTCTGTTCCCCTTGAACCCTCCAAGTCTCGCATAAGTCTATGCCATTAGGAGAATCTCAGTCATAGCAGCAAGGGAATCTGGGAGAGTTTAGCCCTCCTCCCCCTGCAATACAGAGAGTACAGAATGGAGCGAAGGTGGAGGACATGCATCCTGAGTACCATCGCACCACTCTTTAAGTAGACCCGGAAGACCTTCTGGGCCCTGGAAATGACTGAGATGCACCCCCAAGAAAGTCTAGGAAGGGAAGACCACAGAACTGCAAGCCCAGGCAGTCAAGCTTACCGTAAACCAGATTAGAAACAAACACATCTACTTCCAAGTCCTGGGCAGACCCTCTGGGTTTCTGTGAGCTGCTCGAAGGCCCATAAGGAAACCTTGTCACGGGGTGGGTGTGGTGACCAAACAGGAGGTGGGGTGGGAGGTAGGGCTAAAAGTTCCCATTTGAGACTCAACTGAGACAATTCTACTCTTACTCATTTTATAGAGACTCCCTCATAAGATTTTATTTATAAAAGGCATCAGCATATAAATAAATAACAAGACAGGAAGGGGGAGCATTTGAAACCCACTTTCTTACACAGCACCTCTGACAAAGCCTACCATTCATCCAGTCTTCAGCATGTTGGTGAGACACTCACATACATAATTAAAGCACTTGTCAGAGCGCAGGAAACAGAACAAAGCTCCTATGGCCTACTGACTCCCCTGAATCCATAACCAGGAGTAGGAAGAGGAGCAGCAGGAAGGAGAAAAAGGTCAGGATCCAAAGTGGCAGGTAGGACCAGTATGAGTAGGGCCCAGGGGTAAAGCAGTGACAATATTCAGAGGGTGTGAGCAAGAGTTGTTTGCATAACATATACACATTGTGGGGAAAAATCTACAAAGAAAAGACATTTAATTATTTCCATATAATTCATTTACAATTATTTTCATACAAGTCATTATGTTATAAAACTGTACACCTACCCCCAGCACTGCTGGATAACCCAGAGTCGTTCCTTGGAAAGAGAAGAATCAACTTTTATTCTCTCTTTTCCTGGGTTGGGCCTATCAAGGCCAGAATAGGGTGGGGAGTACAGGAATAGCCATCCTTCAAGTCCAAGGGGTCAGGGGCCTGGCCTGGCTCCTCCCGTCATTGCAGGAGGGGTGTCTCTGTTTGGAAAGCCAGCACCAGCACCCAGAACACAGGAGTCCAGAGAGACAGACAGGCACTGCTGGCTACCATCTGGCTGTGGCGGGAATGCCCATGGCGAGGGAGCTGCAGCTCGGCAGAGATGTGCCTATCCAGAACAGGGACCTGGAGCTGTGGGACCTCAGCACTAGGAGGGAAAGAAAAACACAGAAGCTCAGAGCACAGAGCACAGCAGGAGCCACTGGATACTCCAGGGCCCCCAAACGCCCACACAGCTTCTTTGCATCTCCCTTCTTTAAAGACGAGAATGGATGTTAGTATGTTAATAGGCTTCCTGTGTCTCTGTCCCTCGATACTACCACTACAACAAAACCAAGTAATACAGGTGCTAAGACCAGCACAACAGACAACTCTCCCTTGGCTACATGGTTCTTGGTTCAAAGATTATTAAAACTCTAGGTGTAAGAAGGCCCAACTCAGATTTGCTTATCATTAGCCTTTGGGCAATCTGAGGCAGGGCCCCTCCTCACTGACCACACATAGAGGCACATCCAGGCCATGAGGCGTCCTCCCTGGGTCTCTGGCTCTCTCCCCTACCCCAGCTCACATCTGGTGTGAACACCATGCAGACATCCCAGGTCAAGACCGTATGAGCTGAGGGGCCCAAGATCTCAGGCTCACCCGGACCTTTCAGCTCAGCTCTGGTGTAAAGTGGCCAACTCCAGGCCACCTTAAAAGGAAATGGCCCAAACTGAAAAAGTACTGAACCGGTCAATTTATTCCTCCACCAATGAAGGATGGTTGGAGAGCTACCCTTGGTCATGTGGAACGTGGACACCAACAGGATCCCTGTTCTCCGGGTCCCATTTGGCTGCTAGCTTCCATCCGTTAAAAAATGCCAATCCCAGAGCACACCGGACGCCCTCTTCGAACCTTTCAGTGGCTCCTCACTTCCACAGGCATGAGACTCTCTGTCACTCCACTCCATTTCCTGTCTGGACCCACACCACCCCACTTGACTCTTCCCCCCCTGCCCCCCGTTCCCCCCCCCCCAGCTCCAACCATAATTATTTCATCTTGGTTTCTTCAACGTGCTCACTCTCTCCAGGCCTTCACACTGTTCCCTTTGCTTGGAATTCCTTCCCCTCCTTGCTCAGCTATTTATCTATTCAACATTTATTATCAAGCACCTATGCAGGTACTGGATCCCTGAATCTCCTGATCCAGACTCAAAAGTTCTGGTCATTGGGCTTCACTTTGTCAGCCTTCTACTCAGCATCAGCCAAAAGGTACCTTCACTCAGGGAGGCCTTTCCTGACTACTCCCCCAACCCTAAATAGTAACTTCCAACACATACACAAGCACATTTCCATAGCACCCTTTGCAGATATCAAAATTGGGCTTCCTCCCTAGAATGCAAACTCCATGAAGGCAGAGAGATAATGCCCGTCTGGTGTACTTCAAAGCCACAGCACCCGACACAACAGCAGGCACCCAGGAGGAACTCAATACATTTGTGCTACACTGAACTGGATCCTGGATCCCAGGCCTCTCTGGTGTAGTTCTTCCAGAAGCCTTATGCCCTGCAGACCAGGCTGAGTCACCACCTTTGACTCCTCCATCCACCTCTGATCCACCTCCTAAGCACCTTCCGAGAGTGCATTCTGTGGTCACCACGCTCTCTGTAAAATGTGGGGGCTGAACAAGCCTGTTCCCTGTTGCTTCCAGCTCTGCAAAACTATGAAATCTTCCCGAAGCTGCAGTGGAGAAAGGGCTCGCAAATCAATGCACACCCATGCATGCCCACCACCACCACCCCCATTCCTCCTTTAACAAAGATAAACAAAGATAACAAAGCCCTTACTCTGGCTTGAAGCAACTGCCTTTAATTACTGGGTTCATCTCAGTGCCCAAGGCTCTAAGCAACAGCAAAGGCTGGTCCACAAGGGGGTTGCTCATCCCCACCAGAGCCTTGAACCTCCCCTTCTCAAGCAGGGTGAGGGATAGTCCTGGGCTGCTCCCCACCGGGACTCCGGGTGGGGCGGATGGATGCCGGGGATGGGCTCCTGGCCGGCCGACCCGGCCCCAATCACCGCCTCACCTCTCCTCCAGTCGGACCCACAGATCGCTGAACTGCCGAAGCCGCTGCTTTCGCTGTGGCCGCTGCCGCCTCCGTTTCTTCCGAAACTTCCGCTCCGCTCCGCCTCCCAGGGGGGCACTTCCAGGCAGGGACACGTGGGGAGGCCACAGCGAGCGAACGGCAGACCCAGCTTCCGGTACCCGCGCTTCTGAGGCAGGCACTTCCGGAACAAAGATGGCAGAGGAGGCGGGTCCCGACAAGGGACTTCTACTCGTCTCCCTGTGAACAGGGGTGGAGGGAAGATGGATTTGAAGGACGGTCACACAGCTCTCAGGGCTCAGGGACGTAGAACGGGGGAGGGGGGGGAGGATAATGTGAAAGTTCAAGCTGGCTAGGGAGCGTCCTCCAAGCCACCTCCAGAATTGATCACTTTGATGCCTTAATTTTTCCCTCACATACTGTTGCAGTAGTCATTCCAAATCCCCCAGCCCTGGGGAGGAAATAGAAGATTTCTTTTTAATTGCATATAATTACTGCCCTTCCCTAACAAGGGGTCACAGCTATGTAGAAAGTCACTGAAGATTACAGCATTGAAAGTGACATTAAAAAAAAAAAAGTTTAAATGCCATTTACTTAGAACAATTGAAGTAACCCTTAACCATGTTAACCCCTCCTTTACCCTGGTAAGGGCTCTTCTCAGAAAAAGACTGTGGCAGCCCCAACCCCCCACATGAATGACTGCTAGTGTTCACAGGGCTGGCTTCTAACCACCTTAACCCAGGTCCTACCATAAACCATCTTTCCCAAAGGCAACATGTTTTTCACAACTGATGAGAAACTGAAACTTGCTTCTAGTTTTCCACTCAATGTGACTCTAGCCTTCCCCCCTCTCCCGCCCCTCCACCCTGCTCCCAAAAAATATCTTCCAGTGAGGAAATAAGCCATGAGAAGGACCCAATTTCTTGCTACAACAGGACTTTTGTCAAGAGTTTAGTTGGGGTTGAGGAGGGGGCAGTAAGAGAAGAATCCAGCCACTAGAGGTCAATCCTATTGTCTCCTGACTTAGGCAGGCAGGGCCCGGAGGCTCCCATCCACCTGAGGAAAGGAAGCAGTGCCTGTGTTATGTGCATCTTTGACATGTGGGTGCAGCAGACCAGCATATATAAGAACTCCGTTGTTCTGCCCTGATTCAGCCTTGATAAACAGCCCACCTGTCAGAAGCAGGGCTCAATTCTGACCCACAATCTGACACAACCTGAGATGTCAATTAATATTCATGGCCCTGTGTGAGGAAGGCAGGAGGTATAAGAGATAGAAAATGAACATGGGAAAGACTCAGGTTGGGCAAAAAAGGTGAAAGAAGGGAATTCCTCAAGCGGCAAAGAAAGGCCCCTGTTCTGAACCTGAGTCTGGGAACCCCTGCAACATACAGTCACAGTGAAAAGGCCCCTGGAGGACAGGACCTGCCATATTCATCACTGTGTCCAGAGCCCAACACGATGCCTGACACATAAGTGTGACACCACTTAGATGAATCTCTTTATTATACCAACAAAGAAACTGGAGCCTAGAGAGGGGAAAGTGCTCCACCTAAGGCTAAGATTCCAGTGGCCTCCTAGAGGATTCAGGATCAGATGGTCAGGCAGCCCCCATGCCCAGGCCCTCTGCCCCAGCAGAGATTATATCTATGTCATCTTTGACCTCCATATAACCCAGCAGGCCCTGGTACACCGTAGGCATTCAAAAAAGTCTGCTGCAAAGAGCATGGACTCAAATTCACTAGGGCTCAGCTCTTATGGCTTCAAGCAGTGGATCCTTACAGTAGGGGCAAATCACAGCTTTGGTTCTGTTCAACTCACAAGAGACACAAGATCTCAGCTCAGTTACTGCAGGTGGGGGAGGCCAGAGCTTGAGAACCAAGTTAATTAGTTAATTACTCGGGGGGGGGGGGGGGTCGTTAATCCAGAAGAAATTAATTTTCCTTCTCCTGATTTTTATCCTTCTCATACTTCACAGCTGAGATGTCCTGCAGATTCATAACACCCACTTTATAATTAAGGAAACTGAGGACCAGGGAAATAAATTTCCTTGCCCTAGGTCCCAACAAGGATTCAGTGCCATTTTCAAATAATATACACCAAGATTTTTTTTTTTCAGTTTATGAAGCTAACTTATTTTCACCATAGGAAATATGGAGAATATAGAGTAGTGTCACTATGCAGACAAATGCTCATGGGCTTAAGGGACCTAGGGCAGTAGAGGTGGCTGCTTCTCTGCCAGGTACAGAAAATCCCAGCTGTTGAATACAGCCTAATTCACCCCAGAGCTTCTGGGCTAGCCTAAGCATCCCATCCCAGGTTGAGGTTCTAGGTTATCCTGTTTCAGTCCATCTGAATTCCCAAAGTTTAGTGAAACCTCTAGTTACTTATGAAACCTAAGTCCATGGTCATTTTGGCCACAATATGGGGCCCTTGTTGTGCTTGAGAGATTGCTAGTCCCCTGCCAGCATTTCACACAATCTACTCACTTTGTGGAAGTCTACGAGAAAGAAACACCCTGGTTGACATGGCCTGTCTCCTGGGCACACACCCACAGAAGGACATGTGGTATCCAGGAAGGAGCCCAGGACTGGAAACTAGAACAAGATAATTATACTTTCTGAGCCTCTTCTGCTTCTATAAAGTTGATCTGTCTCACCTGGTTGCTGCGAGGATTAAAACTACCCATGCACCATGCTTCACACAGGGCTGAGCACCCAGGATGCATTCCATGTGGATGCCCCTTTCTACCAGTCCCACTGTCTGGGGATGAGTGCAAGTGTATGTAGCCCAGCAAGGCTGACCAGGACCCTGGAGCACCCCACTGTGAAGCCAAATGGACATTCACCAGATCCTCATTGGTATTATTCTGCTGTGGTGGGCAGAATACTGACCCTCAGAAATGTCAATGTCCTAATCCCTGGAACCTGTGAATACTATTGTTTGTTACCTTTCCTGATAAAAGGGATTTTGTGGGTGTGATATAGGACCTTGAGATGGGAGATTACCCCAGGCTACCTGGGTGGACCCAATCTAATCACATGGGTGCTTAAAGCCCGAAAACTTTCTGTGGCCAGTGGGAGATGTGACTACAGAAGAACTTCGGGGAAATGCAGTCACTTGGAAGATGGAAGGAGGGGTCACAAACCAAGAAAGGTGAGCAACCTCTGTAATCTGGAAAAGACAAGTAAACAGGTTCTCCCCTAGAAGCCCTAGAGGAGAATACGGCCCCATTAACGCCTTGATTTCAGCCCATTGAGACCTGTGTCAAACTTCTGATCTACAGAACCGTAAAATAAGTTCTTGAGGGCACAGTTTATAATTTGTTGTGGCAGGAAAAAAAAAATCCACAAAACCCTAATACAGCATCCGTTATCCTGGGAAGAGGTGTGGGATTGGGGAACTGGGTAAACACACTTGGGATCAGCCCAGCAGGACCCCTGTCCCCTCCTTTTTGCTGCCCAGGGAAGCGCAGTTTCACAGCCAGGGCCTTGCCTGTGTATTCCAGCCTGTTGAATACAGGAGGGTAATGGCTGCCGGTAGCCCTCCCCTCACTGTCCACCTAACTGGGCCACCCCAAGACCCGAGGGGCTGGCAGGCCTAGAGTGAGCTAGGTCACCAGTTAGAAGGCCTCCTGCCCCCACCCACACAGCCCGCCCAAGATCCAAGTCCCCGTATCATCCCTCAGGGATTATTACACAGCTGCCAAGGAAGGGAAGAAGGAAGCAGGTGTCTCCACAGCCACTGCACTGGCCCTTGCCAACACCTTCAGTGCGGTCGTTTCCCCCACTCTGGGCCCTTATCCCCTCACCCCTTCTTCTCCCTAACCGGAGCTCCGTTCCAGACTTCATGCTCCCTCGTGGCGTCCCCTGGAGCACGGCTCACCGCTAAAAACTCATAGACACTATCCTAATGGAGCACATACTGTGTGCCAGACGCCAGGATAGCTACTGCAGAGCACACACCAAACCCCTGGGGATCATGCAAGGGGGTGGCCCCGGGCCGGAGCAGAGAAGAACATGGGGCGTTTGTGCTGGATCTCACAGATTCTGATAGAGTTAGGGGCGGGGATGGGGGATGAATGTCTGGCCGAGGAAGCTGCACGAACAAAGACAAAGGATCCAGGAAGTAAAACGTGGAAGAAGAAAGGGCAGAAAGAGAAGGCATGTGTGGGCGGAGGAGCCTGAGCTGTACCCTGGCTCTGATTAGCTGTGTGATCTTTCAGTTTCTCCATCAGTAAAGGAGAAGAAACAACCACCCCACAGGCTGGCTTTGAGGATTAACTGACAGTCTGTGTGAACCTGGCTGCCACCTGACAGTCAGTCAATAAATGTTCTTTCCTCCCCTGGGAATGTGAGCAGCCCAGCTGAATGTCAGCACTGTTCTCAGCCCTCACCGTGCACCAGAATCACAGAGAGATTTTTAAAATACTGATTCCTGACCTCACTTCCTCCCACAGGCAGGTATTAGGGCTAGAGACAGAAGTAGGAAGCCTGAGCATAACCATCAACACACGTGCACGCACACATGCATGTATGTGCACACATGCGCGCATGCATGTACACACATATACATGCCTGTGCACATACGTGCGCATCCACACGCATACACGCATGCACACGCACACTCCAGGAAGGGTCCTCTCCAGCACCCGCAAGGACTGTGTGCCAAATACCAGCCCAGTCAGCCTGGGGCGGGGGCTGAGAAGGGATAAAGCACCCACTTTCCAGAAGAACACGGTCCCCCCGAAACAGGCAGAGAACCACTAAGGGCTGGATTCTCCCTCCAGGGCTGAAGGAGAACAGGAGAGAGAGAAGGATCAAGACCTGGGCAGTGAGCAGAGCTGAAGGAGGGGCAGGATTTTTGCTGTCGGGGGAGGTGGACGGCAGCGACCCAGATAGAAGGTTTTCTGATGCAGGAAGCACACCTGTGCTGGGGTCTGGGCGCCAAGACACCAGCAGGAAGAAACTGGACTTTGGAAGAGAAGAGTCAGAAAGCACCGAAGGCTTCTGAGGAAGGGGCACTTGCAAGATTTAGTCCCACAGAGAGCGAAGAATGGACCAGAGGATGAGAGCCATGAAAAAGGAGAGGAGCAAACCCAAGAGGAGAGGAAGCTAGAGGTGTGATGGAGGTGAGAAATGAGAAGTCTCAGGTAAGGGCTTTTAGAGAGTAGAAGTACTATTTGAAGAACCATTATTATTGACGCACTGGACGTAGGGCGTGAGAGGTGGGGGTAAGACAGCCCAGGACGTACCCACGATTGTCCACTAGGAGGCAGACTGGGAGAATCCTGGCTCCCGGGTGGAAACTGGACCACTAGGGAGGACCCTCTGGGGTGAGGGGCTGGGGAGAGGCCCTAGCTTGAAACAACATGAGCTGAAGGCGGGCCTTCTGAAGAGAAAGAGGGCACCTGGGGAAAGGCAGCCGTCAAGCTGACACCACAGCTGACCCCCCTCTCTACCCCTCAGTAGAAAGGATGGGCCTTCTCCTCACTACCGCTAGGATCCCTGCCAGGAGGGGGCGCTGGTGAGCGCGGTCGGGAGGGAGCGGGGCGAGGAAAGGCGTGTGTTAGGGGCTGAATTCCTATGTTGGAGCCTCCATAGCCAGTTCCTCAGAATGTGACTGCATTCATAGGCAGGGCCTCTAAAGAGGTTATTAAGATAAAATGAGGTCGTCAGGGCGGGCCTGGTCCAATCTGACTAATATCCTTATGAGAGGAAATGTAAACACACAGAGACACTAGGATTGTGTGCACACAGAGGGAGGCCACGTGAGGACAGGGAGAGGGAGGCTACGTGCAAGCCGAAGGGAGACCTCAAGGGAAATCAAACCTACCGACACCTTGATTTTGGACTTCTGGCCTCCGGAACTGTAAGAAAATAAATTTCTGCTGTTCGAGTGCCCAGTCTGTGGCATTTTGTTACAGTGGCCCAAGCTGACTAGTTCGGAGGGAAGGGAGGGGTCCACAGAGCCATCAAAATGAGAAACAGACCCGGGGGGAGGAACAGCCCAGGGAAAGAGAAAGGGCTTTGCTCCTGTCCCGAGAAGGGTCTCACGGCCACGCCCTGCGCTTCTAGCCCCTCTGACCCTGTGTTATGACTGATTCCACCATCTGCCTCCCTGAAACTTCCCAAATGCCCACTGGAAAGGCACTAAGCATTAAGCCCAATGACCCCTCCTGGAGCCCCCAGGACCATGGGGTAATCTTCCCTTCTCCTTCTCTGTCCCAAGGCCACTGAGGAAAAAAGCCAGAATGGCCTCTGTTGCCCGAAGTGCCCGCCCGCCCAGCCAACCCATGTCTGACACAGCCCCAGCCACAACAGGATGCCAGCGGAGCCGGGTGCCAAGTGTCCATTTAGCGGCCAGGCAGGGAAGGTGGTAATAGCCGTGCTGGGGGCCTCTGGAGCCCCTCAGGGTAGAGCCCGCCCTCGTGCCGGGTCAGCCCCGTGGGGGTCTCGGCTCTGCCAGCTGCTCCCCAACCAGGATAGAAGCACAGGAAGGTTACTTGTCGATGGGTCGTCCAGCGGGGGCGTGTTCTACCTCATAGCCTTCGCGCCGCAAGACATCAAGCACTGTATTGTTGCCCATGAAATGACCTGCAGTAAGAAAAATGATCAGAAATACGGCAGCTCCCGTGACCACTAAACATACCCCCAGACACACAGCCCAGAACAAAGAAATAACCCTGCCAGCCCTCCATCCCTTTCTGTCCAGCCCAGTAGAGTTCCTAAGAGCTTCTGTAGTCAGGCCTCCCAACTGCCCTCCAGGCAGGCAGGGAGGGACAAGCAGTGTTTCAGAGATGAGGACACAGAGGATCAGAAGGGTGGGGTGAGCTGCCCAGAGTCACACAGCGAAGGGAGAGCCTAGACACCAAATCCCAACCTTCCAAGTCTCAATGCAGTGCCAACAGTCCCGACCATTCTCATCATTTACACAATCCAACCACCTCTGAGACCCGAGCCCCCTTCTGTCCCACACGTAATTATACACGCACAGTGAAACACCTGCATCTAGCAGAAGCCACCATAGCTGGAAACCTCAATCTGAATGTTATTTCACTTCCTCCCTTTTCATAAAAAGCAAAGATCAGCCAGGTAAGCTTACAATGACATCCTAGACATGTTCAAGGCCAAGAGCAGATCCTGGGATCAACCTCCTTTCCGTTCAGGTTTTGATGCTCAGAACTGACATGATCATCCAGGCTCACAACGTCCCTCTCTGTGACAGTATATGGCACTTTAATGTCCTAAATGGCCGATTCAATTGCAGCACTCCATCCTGTGTTTGAGCAGAACCTTAGAGGTATCGTTCTTACCTGCACTTTAAATTGGAAAACTGAGGTAAAATAGGTCCAGGGCTTCACACGCTAAGCAGCCACATAGCAGAATCTAAAAGCCAGGCCATTTGGCTCCAGGGTCTGTACAATCTTGACACGTCAATACTCAATAACCAGAGACCGGGACAGCGAATTAAGGTACATCCAAGCTGCTGGCCAGGCAACGGGCAGTCTGTGGGTCTCCCTCGTGTCCTGTTCCCACAGCTCTAGAAAGCAGGGTGAACCTGGGTCAGCCTCTGAGAGCCTGGTGAGCCCGAGGGCGGTGACTGGCGGAAGGTACTGGGCTCTACCACTTTCTTGGGTTCAACTGTAAAGTCTGTGACCCCAAGATTGCTGAGGGGCAACTGGCTCAGATGAAAGGGACGTTGGCAAGGCCCAGATTAGCCCTAGTGCACAAGTGCAATTAACTCATGCACAGATGTTGCCTGGACTGGGGGTGAGGGCGGCAGGGGGGGGGGGGGGGGCGCTACTGAGCCTACAGAGTGCTGCAGCAACCCTCACTCCCCCAGCCATTACCAAGCCCACACAGCAGGGCGTGATCACAAAAATAAAGTAGCCAACAGTCATTGAGCATTACCAGGCACAATGCTTTACACATCATTTGACAGCCCCCGCCCCCTCCCCGCCCCTGCCAACAGCCCTATAAGGTGGGCGTATTATTGTCTCCATTTTACAGGTGAGCAAGAGGCACAGAGAGATGAAGCAGATGGCATCTCAAACCCAAGTGGTCTGGCTCCAGAGTCCACCCTCTCAAGCAATTCAGAATAAAAACCGTATCTGTCAAGTGAACAAACTGCCCCTATTACCAGTGCTTTCTCAGCACGAACCAAGCTATTCTGTTTGACCGACTTTTCCTGCCACAAAGGTGAGCTCCATTTCTCATCTCTAAATTTTCTCTCCAGACCCCCACAATGAAAGTTGTTGTTTGATTTGAAACTCTGCAGCTTTGGGGCGCCTGGGTGGCTCAGTCGGTTAAGCGTCCGACTTCAACTCAGGTCACGATCTCGCCGTCCGTGAGTTCGAGCCCCACGTCGGGCTCTGGGCTGATGGCTCAGAGCCTGGAGCCTGCTTTGGATTCTGTGTCTCCCTCCCTCTCTCTGCCCCTCCCCCGTTCATGCTCTGTCTCTCTCTATCTCAAAGATAAATAAAGGTTAAAAAAAAAATTAAAGAAACTCTGCAGCTTTTAGTTTTTGGTTACCTTCGCTTTGCAATTAAAAGTTTGCTAACCACAGACTTTAAAATTTTTTAACCAGTAAGGCTAAGTGTCGGGAGCAATTTCTGTGGTTCCCTCTGGTCAACACAGCCTTCAGAAAGAAACGGATTCCTGCGGTGGAGAAAGCAGCGCCAGGAAGAGAACTTGGCACTGGTGACTGTCCAGGGCACCCCTGGCCCCCAAAGCACCCAGCTGTGAGGCCTCTGCCCAGCGCTGCGGCAATATGATGAGCTGTGCCCGGAGAATCAGGCGAGCCCAGGTGCTACATCTCACCTGGGCCATCGGTCCAGCAGTCGCCATCTGGAGGGCCTGCCCTCCCAGCTGCTCAGATCAACCTGCCATCTGGCCGCCAGCCAACCCGCTGCCCAGCCTCGTGCCACACAGTAGGCCACTGTCATCTCAAAGCGTCCACCCTTCCCCTGCGCCCAGTGCCCCGCCATCCCGCCACCGGACGTCAGGGAAGCTTTTGAGAGATCAACTGAGTCTTGCAGGGGTGGAAGGCCAAAGCCCACGCTCAGGGGCTGGTACCTTCCATCCTGGAGGACCCGACACAGCCGCCAGGACCGAGCCACCAGCTCGGTGTCTTATTTTAGTATATATGCTGCCGAAGCGAGCACCAGCTCTGTGTTCTAACAGAGGGCCACCATCACCCCTACCAGGTGCCACGGGGGGCTTCTGGTACCTAACCCCTTTCGGGGTGCTGCAGAACCAGAGCTAACAGCTTTGCTGAGACAGGCCAGACTTGGGCACTGGGCCACACAGCACTGTGCACAACCCAAATATGGAATGTGAAACCTGGAGAAGAGGAAAACCACTCACACAACTCACAGAGGACCGAGCACCAAAGGCAGAAACTGTTCATTTGTGAACAAGATGTAGGAGCCCAAACTCTCATTTTTTCTACAACATAAAAACATCCTTTTTTTAAAAGCTTATTATTTTTTTTAATGATCTCTCCACCCAACATGGGCTCAAACTCACAACCCTGAGATCAAGAGTCACATGTTCTGCAGACTGAGCCAGCCAGGCACCCCTAAAATTCATCCTTTTCAAGTGCACAATTCAGTGGTTTGGGGAATATTCCCAAAGTTGTGCCACCATCACCTCTACCTAATTTTAAAGCATTTTCATCAGCTGAGATTTTGATGACCGTTACATTGAATGTCTAGATCAACAGGGGAGAATATTGTCATTTTAACACTGTTCAAGCCTTCCAATTCATGACCATATGTCTTTCCATTTACTTAGGTCTTCTTTAATTCCCTCTGATGATTTCAGTTTTCCGTTGTACGTCTTGATACATCTCGTACTAGGTATTTTTTTACGCTTTTAAACGGAACTAATTTCTTAGTTTCATTTTCAAATTATTCATTGCTAGAGTATGGAAACACAACGGACTTTTGTGTACTGATCTTCTATCTTGCCTCCTTGTACCCTGGGTTTTTAGTTCTAAGAGTTTTTTGGTCGGTTACCTAGGATTTTCTATACACAAGACCATGTCATCTGAGAAAAGAGATAGTTTTACTTCCTCCTTTCCAATGTGAATGTCTTTTATTCCTTTTCCTAACTTTCCTGGCTAGAACCTTCACACACTGTTGAAGAGAAGTGGTGAGAGCAGCCATCTTTGTCCTGTTCCTCATCTTAGGGGGAAAGCATTTCATCTTTCGTCATTTAATATGTTAAAGTGACCCTTCAACAGGCTGATGAAGTAAGTTCCCTTGTAGCCTTCGTTTGATGAGTATGTTCACCATGAAAGAATGTTGCACTTTATTGTTTGCTTTTTCTATGTCTGTTGAGAGCATCGTGTGGTGCTTGTTCTTGAGTTCTACTAATATGGAGGGTTATATTAATTGATTTTCAGATGTTGTGGTAATGGTCCCCCAAATACGTCTGCATCCTAATCCCTGAAACCTGTGAATGTTATCTGGGGGGAAAAAAGAAAACAAAAGATTTTGCAGATGTAATTAAGCTAAGGATCTTGAGATCGGGTGATTCTACTTGACCTCTCACTCTGCCACTCTGCAAGTGCTCTTGTCCAACCCCACCCCCCATTTTATCAGTAAAAAAACCGAGAGAACTTGTCCACACTTATGAAGCTAGTGGGGAATTGAAAGGAGAAGCCAAGGGCAGCAAATGCTCCTTCTGCACACTACTCAGTCTCTGGCATTTTCCTTTCCTTTCCTTTCCTTTCCTTTCCTTTCCTTTCCTTTCCTTTCCTTTCCTTTCCTT